CTGCAGTTCTGCAGATTGTGGGTCTTCATTCTCCTCTGGCTCTGGGTCAGACTCTGGCTCCTGCAAGGCTGGATGGACAAGTCTTCTGTTGTTGACATCTTTAAATCAATTTTTTGTATCACTTCAGCAGAAAAAAAGAACTTAATATTAGTTTCTTAATTTCTTCATCATCAGTGATTTTTTATTAAATTTCTTTTAAGTAAAGAGAAAATAGAAAATGAGGGGAAAAACAAAGAGAAAAGTAATTAAAAAGATTGAAATAGAGATTAGAAGTATATTAAATATACACCAAGAAATCACAGGTCTACACACCCAACATCTGTCCGCTCACCTAAAAATAAATGGATAAATACATGGATGACATACATAAATACACATACCCATACATATATAAAGACATACATGCATGCCTACATTCATACATACTGTAGATATATACACACAGACATATATACACACTCAGTGACCAGTCAGAACCCCCCGGATCAGAACACCTGCTTGTGAGCGGTTGTGAACATGCGTGTATATACAAGATTTCTCCAATGGAATATTTAATAGTGACTGTGGAGGACTGAAGACCCAACCCCCAAGACACGAGGCAGACATAGGGAAGACCAGAGCCCAAGGACCCGAGATAGATCCCGAGCGCAGAGCCCCAAGGGGCACCCGCATAGGAAGATCCACCCACCCACCCCCCAGATCACACCATAGGGGAGAACTGGAAGAGTCCCCCCAGCGACCACACGCACAGCCCCCGGGGCCAGCAGCRACAAACTCATGGGCCCCACCGGCACCCGCCACACCAGAGCAGATCCAGGAAAGGGCACAGAGGTCCGGGSCCCCAGGGCGCACCCCACCCAGGCCAGAGCCCGACAGGGCCAGAGGCCCCAAGCCCCAGCAGGCAGTCACCAGGCCAGGCCGGCACATGCCCCAGCGCTCAGCCCCAGATCCCGAGAACCCCCAGCATGCCGGCGGCCAGCCGCCCACCCCACCGGGGGGGCTGAGTAACAGCGGGCCCTCAGACAAACCAGCAGGAGGAGCGGCCCAGATACCAGCCTGACAAATACCCAAACATGTACAATCGCACCATCCCACCCTCATCCTCACACCCACTCATTCAAAGACATACAAGGATGCCACATTCCACTCATACCCCCGATATACACTCTATACCCTCCAGGTCCAGGACATGCACACCGCCCCCCTCTACCCCCACAACCCCTACTGGAGGCAGCACACACCCAAACCCAGGGGGTAGACCCAATCTTTCTGGGGTGGAGAGGCGCAGACAGCCAAGGTCCGGCCCGGGCCGCACCAGGCCGCCCGGCCAGCCCCCCACCGCAGAGAAGCCACGCCCACGACCACCCCACCACACCGCCAATAGCCAAACACTCCCCACCCCCCCCGCCCCAAGCCAACCACCCACCGGGTGGTTGGCTTGGGGCAGCCAACCCGGCCAGCGGGCCACCCATAGACCATGAGCCACACCACAGGGGCAACATCCGAAAAATAAAGTCTTCATCTTCTACCGCTTATCTGTAGTCGGGTCGTGGAGGAAACAGGTCCAGGGGTTAGATTTATAAAAGATTGTGTTGAAACCATACTAAAAGTGATCGTACGGCCAAAAGGCAGAAATGGCATACGGCAAAATAATTCAGATTTATAAAACCATGCGTACGCATGTTTCTGCGCATCTTTCTGGTGCATTCACACCAAACGCG